AAAGAGTAATATTTATATGTCTAAGATAATATTGATGACAATAAAATGTATATACAAATATCTGTCATTATTATGAAAAACTCGGATGATGTTGTAATGAAAAACAAAACACTGAAATTCAAAAATGAAACAGTTTGTTATGAATCATGCTAAAGGTTTTATATAAATTTGGACACAGCTCTCATGATAACATTATCACATAGAAATATGGTAACTACGCAACTCTTTTTTTTTTCATATCGTGAGACTGACAGGCCGAACTAGGCCTAATATTGTTTTGTTAATAGTTGAGAAGGATGGCAACGAATATCATACCTCCTTGTGGCGTTACATATGCATGCATACAAGTTTGGCTTGTCACTTTCTGCTTTTTTATTTTTCAGTATTTTTTGATGGGTTCTTTCTACCTCAGCGTTACTGCACTATTACTATTAATCATTGTTTTATACTATGTTGTAATACCACCAGTGGAAAGTCAAACTGTCTTGGAAGTGTTAGGCTTATCCACTGACAGAGATGATAAATACCCACCTGTTTATGCTCACAGGGGCGGGGGTTATGACGCCCCAGAGAATACTTTAGCAGCTTTTCGAAAAGTAAGCCTTACTGCTTATTTCATGTTATAACATTTTAAGCATATACAATACTATTTTAAAATATAAGTTATGAAAGTAGTTTTAGGCTGTTCCAATCTTGTAATGTCACTCTTGGCCCCATGTTTTATAATCGTTTTCAGTTTCAGTCCAACGTCAGATCAGTTAAATTAAAAATTCATATAAACCACTTTTAAAAAAGTAGAATTTAAAAAATAAGAATTAATTTTTTTTTAATTATGTTATTTACTTAAATAATAAAAAATTAGAATAACAGAAGTGATTATGGATTAGTTTGCTCATTCATAAAGCAGTGGAAATAGTTTTATCAAAGTTTTTACTGTTTTGAAATGCAAGAAGTACATTAATTTGAAAGATCATATTAGAAAAGTTGCACAATTAAAACTTGCACTGTTTTTCCATTTGTTTCAGGCAAAAGACAATGGAGCAACTGGTGTGGAATTTGATATTTCTTTTACCAAAGATGGAATTGCTGTACTGCTAAATGATGAAACTGTTGACAGAACAACGAATGGTTCTGGATATATTGGGAATATGACATTCCATGAAGTTCGGGAACTTGATGCTTCTAAATATCACCCTCACAGGTACATTCACCTCATAGTATATCATTATCAACAAAAAATATGACAAAATGGCTTTTATTAAATATCATATCTGGCCTGTATTTATTTTTATTAATTCATGTTATCCAAATCATTGAACTTTTTGTTCATTAATATGTTCAAAAGCATCATGAAGGATTTCAAGCTGGTAGTAGAAACCAATTCATTAAGATCCTCTTTTTAAAGAACTCCAAATATATGCACCTATGATATTACCAGTTGACATATTACTTAACGATTGCCCTTGAACACAGGTTTATTTTTGTGTGTAGATTTATACATTTTTAGATTTGTTGAATGTACATATAGATGTGATGGGTCATGCTCAGCTTTGCTTTTATTTGCTTCATCGTTTTTTGCAGTAGACCTATTTCAAGTAACATCTAGCAATCACAGTTAAGAGAAAATTAATATTATAAAAAATGAAATGTTTAAGTTGTGAATTTTGTTGTACATATGTAGTTTTGGAGAAGAGCAACTGTCTATGGACTACTTGTTTCTAAGTGTTGTTGCTGGAAGTGTGATTTGAGAAGTTTAGCTTGCATTTAGGCAATCACTTTGATGTAGATAAGGAGCAATTTAAAAAAGGAAGTTTCAAGGTTGGTTATACATGTCTCAAGTTACTGTCAAGTATAGTTA